TGGAAGGTCACAGCAGCAGAGCTTCCCTGCTCTTTCCCCCACTGGACACATTAATGTGTTCCCCTGAGTTTCAGTGTCCAGAAGTTTTATGGGGGCTTTAGTGGGTTGATATTAAGTGGCTTAAATCTTCAACCCTTTAATCACAGGTTGGTCTTTTTAGTGTGGCTTTTCCCCATCCTGATTCTCTTCTTAACATAAATTATCAGGGCACACCATGAAAACAGAACTCCTGTCACTTGGGAAGTCCCAAGGATTTTGTTTTCTTCTCAGGAGCCAGGGACAAGAGCAAGTCAAGCTCTCTATTATTCAACATCTCACAGCTGATCTTAACAGTTTCTTTTTTTCTTTTTAAAGTTTTATCTATCCATGCATACAAGAGCTGGGGCACAGGCCAGAGGTGAGGGGTTGGGGGGTGGTGGGGTGAGAGGATTCACCAGAGGCAGAGCAGGGAACAGAACAGCCTAGTCTTAACTGTTTCTTAAGCAATATCCATGAAATAATACTTATGGGCCAAGCCCTGTGCAACTCAGTGGGAAGGTAAAGACAGATGATGGTGCCTGCCCTCCAGGAGATTAGAGCTTTACATTGCAGTGAGGTCCCTGAGGGGGACAGGAAGGCCAGAGGTCATAGGTATCCAGTGAAGTAGTTAACCCAGAAAGGTTTTCTGGAGATCTGATGAACCAGCCAGCAGAAAGAGGGGCAAAATTCTAGGCAAAGGGCAGAGCATGTGTAAAAGCCCAGAAGCATGAAAAAATTAACTCAACCAAAGAATTGAGGGAAATTCAAAGGGTCTTGTTTATAGAGTATGAGAGGGAAATGGGAAGGTATGGGGCTGGAAAGTTCCATGGGGTGCTGGATGGCAGCTATAGAATCACCCCAAACAAGGACACACTTCTGTATACATTATATTCATGTTATCAAGTCTTTGTTTAAAAATAACTGGCAACTGTTGATTGCCAAAGGACCCTGGGCATCTTTCCGATACACTTTGCTCAGTGGTAAAGCAGGGGCACTAATGCCTATGACAGTACAGGAAGTGAACTATTTGCCCTAATTTGGGGTTCAGGAAGAAACACCATGTTTGGGACCCTCACCTTGAGCCTAAAGACTAGATAGGGCATATAATACTTCAGAGCTGGGTTTCCTAAGCTATGGTCAATCAACTTGGATGGAAAAAAATTACATTTACTTTTAATGATCTCTTCACCAAAATTTAGCATTCCTTTGTGGCCACAGATAATAAACCACAATGGTATTAGTTGTAACCAAAACTTTTCACAGTAGCAATCACAGATAGTATCACTCACATTAGAGTTGTTGCAGATCTCTTGAACCAGGATTTATGTGCACACTAGTTTGATACTACAAATATTAGACTGCTATTCAAAAAAAGATAAACACATACAATTTGCAGCAACATGGATGGAGCTGGAAGGGATCATGCTCAGCGAAATAAGCCAGAAAGAAAAAGAAAAATACCGGATGGTCTCACTCATAGCAGGAATCTAGAAAACCTAAATAAGGGACCAGGAAAAAGAGTAACTATAAAAAAGAAAATATCAAAATCGACAAACAACTATGAACCAGAGACACACTATGGGGGAGTGGGGGGACAGGGAAAGGAGGGCTTGGGGTCAAAATAATGGGGTTGTAATTGTATGGGGAATATAAAAATAAAATTTAAATAAAAAACAAATATTAGACTTCTAGATGAGTCTAATACAGTCTAATAATGAAACAAAGAAGCTTATTTTTATTATATCAAAATATGGGCTTTGATATAGTTAAATATTTTCATTTCCTTTGTAGTCCTATTTTATTTTATGACTTTGAAAACATTATTCTGAGTAAGGGTATACAGGCTTCACCAAACTGTCAAGGGGGTGCATGGTAGGAAAAAAAGTTTTTAAAATCCTGCTTAATAGAAATATACGTTGCCCTAACTCTTTCCAAAGGGGTACTTGCCTTTGGTTGTTGAGTCATTTCTCTGGTATGAGCCCAGCCCTAGTACCTCTTGGTACCCTCAAAGGTGGCAGGGTTTGAGTGGGTAGGCTCTGGGAGACCTGTCCCCTATGCAAACAATGACATTGGTTACACACAGGGTACAGGATAAGGGAATACCCTGGGGATACTGAATCAATCACTTGCAACCAGTCAGTCAGTGAGCTGAGAGCTGGTCATAGCCTCATACCCTCTTGAGAAAAGTGATTGTGGCCATATCCATCTACTGAGATTTGCGCCATGATGTTGTTATTCATGCTAGCCACAGCCAGATGGACAATGGATCACATCCTATCTGGCTAGTGGCCTGAGAACTGGGGAGCTTGCCAAATAGATACTCTCCAATTGAATGACAACTAATTGATCCTATTAGATCCTGTCTCTTGGGGAGTTTGAATTTAAACACACAGGGGAAGAACTGACGGTTGGGATGGCTGTGACAGACACAAAGAAAGAATATGGGCAAAAGAGAAGAAGTGGTGTCAAGAGTGGGAATATGCCCAAGCTAGGGGGGCCTGACACACCACTTTCCCAGAAGACTAGCCCTATACCTCTGTTACTTCATGGAGGTTACCTGGAAGAGCCCACCTAACCTGTGCCTAAGAGCTCTAGAATTGTGGTGTGCCAGGAGTCCTGAGCTACACAAAGTTCATAGCAGAGCATGAGTTCCAACATTCCAGAGAAACAAAATAAGGAAATTGGGGGACTTTCTTCCTCAGTCTTCCTAACCTAGTCTGACCTCCTCTTAGTAAGAACAGGCCCTTGCCTTTTGTGCCCAGTGCCAGGGCCTGTCTATGTCCTTGTGGGCTCCCTCTCTGCTTGATTATTCACAAAGCAGTTAAGAGTTGGTATTGCAACTAGCAGAGAGAACAAGGGATCCCCTCCTTAGATTTGCTCATGGATAAAACCTAGTCTAAGTCTACTCTCATTGTCCAGAAATAGATTTAAATTCAGCTACACCTATAGCTCCTTTAATTGTTATACTTTAGAGATGAGGAAATGAAACTCATAGAAAGTCTGACTCTAGCCATCAGAAGTCAGAAATGCAAGTTCCTTTGTATGCGCTATAAAAACCAAGCACATGACTACCTCTCCAATCTCAGCATTCATAGCTCCCTGCTACCCATTCTCCACCACACCCCTTGCCAAATTCATATATTTGCATTTCCAGAAATATGCCTTCTCATCTCCAATTCTTTGCTCCTGATATTCCCCTGGAGACAATACCCCTAGGAATCTCTGGTGAATTCTCTAAGTCAACCTTTAAGACTTAAAGTATTATTCCCCTATTCCTTGTATACTTTGTATCTTTAGCCCTTCACATAGGGGCTGGCAAAGTTAAGTGGCCAAAAAATATGTGCTCCTTGGCCCCAGTGTCAAAAAATTATTAGGGTCCTAAAATATGGTCATAGGCCTCCCAGGTGGTGCAAGGGGTTAAGTCTCAGCACTATGAAGCTATCCGCAGCCACTGCAGCGAGTTTGATCCCACATGGCACAGCAGACCTCTCCTGACTGGCAGGCTGCTCCCCTCAGCAGTGTTCTGCTCCCCACTCTGTCTCTGGTGAATTCTTTCACCCCCTACTCCGCACCTCTGGCCTACACCCCAGTTCTTGTATGCATAAATAAATATCTTTATTTAAAAAAATAATCTTTAAAAAAATCTTTTAAAAATCTTTAAAAAAATAATAAAGTATGGTCAGTACTTGGAATACTGTGGATGGCATGGCCTCAGGATGAGAATCCTCTTGCTCAGTTCTAGGCTGGGAAATAGGTGACATCTAGACTCCTGTGGGCATGGGTGGTGTCCAGGGTTCCAGATTACACGTTATTCGTTTTATTTAATCACTCAACAATACATAATGGTTCTGTTACATGTTAAACACTCTCCCAGGTGCTGGGGATCAAAGATGAATAGAGAAATTAGCTGGGAGAATATACTTTAACTGAAACTTGAAGAACACTCTAAAAATATATATAAAAGAAAAACAAGATTTAATCCCTGCTTTCGTCCAGGTGTGTGTGTGGAGGAGGAATGGTTCTCCTCCCCATGCCCTCGCTGCCTTCCCAAGGTGAAGATTTGAGGGGGATTAGATATTTAATCCCTGAGTTGGGTCTCACTTTCAGAAAGGTGTGAGGGCTGAATCCTAACCTGGCTCCACACCTGGCCCCATTGTTCCCCTAATTCCCCCACATCCGATCCGGGAATCTGATCTGGAATTAGCGGTCGGTCTGGCAGCTCATTCACTGACCAGAAGCCTCGTGGACTACACGGGGAGACCCTGAAAACTATTCTCCCCTGACTCAAGACCTCACCTAAACATCAGTCCCGTGGAGGAACTACTCCCCTAAAATGGGTCTCAGGCAGCCTTCTTGGAAGGTGCGGCCCCTTTAAAAGGAGACCGGCGTCCGAGAGAGACCACCCGTCACTCACAAATCCCAAACCCAGGCCTGAACTCCCGGTCGACCCCCGCAGTCCCGCCCCCAAGCCCTCTCCAGAGCACGGCTTCCGGAGCAGCACCCTGGGCACCGCCCCCCAGGCGCGGGCGCCGATTGGCCAACGCAATCGCTGGGTGGGGCCAAGTCTTAAAGGGTCGGGTTGCTGAAGCCAGAGGCTGCGGTGGCCGCTTCAAATCGCGGGGAAGTAATGTCACGTGGTCCCATGCGGGGTTCTTTTAAACCTCTCTGAAGTTCATACCCCCGTCTCAGGCCCATGGAGCCTACGCGAGACTATCCATTGTTCGGGGGCGCCTTCTCTGCTACGCTCCCTGCCGGGGCTATTGACGTCAGGTGAGAAGACTGGGGCGCCCGCCGGGCGGGTTGCGGGAAGTAGTCGGGGCCAACCAAGGTCTGCTTCGCCTGTCCCCAGCGACCTCCGACCAGTCCCAGACAACCAAGAAGTTTTCTGCCATCGCGGGACGGACCAGAGCCTGATCGTGGAACTTCTGGAGCTGCAGGCCCACGTGCAAGGCGAAGCAGCAGCGCGGTGAGGGAGGCGGGCCCGCGAGTGGCTAATGGGAGAAAGGGAAAGGCGCGGAGGGGGGAGCGTGGGGGCGGGGCCTGGGGCTGGACGGTTAACCTGGGCAATGAGAACTCCAAGGGCAACAGCGTGTCGCCTGAAGTGTGCGAACTTGAGAATTTAGAGATGCTGAGCGCGGGGGTGGGGCAGTGAGAGATGCCCTTCTTGACTCTGCTTCCCCTACTCCAGATACCACTTTGAAGATGTTGGAGGGGTGCAAGAGGCTAGGGTTGTGCAAGTGGAGGCTGTGCAGCCCCTCCTTTTGGAGAAGCTAGCCCTGAGAGACTGCTGTCAAGAAGCCTGGGTTCTCTCTGGCAAGCAGCAGGTAGCTAAAGAAAACCAGCAGGTGAGGGCTAGGGGAGTGAGATGTCCTGGAGGGGTGAAAGGGGTGGCCCAAGGGACCACATAAGTATCCAGACTCTGATTCCTTTAGGTAGCAAAGAACGTGACATTGCACCAGGCCCTGCTGCGGCTGCCCCAGTACCAGACTGATCTCCTGCTCACCTTCAATCAGCCCCCGTAAGGAGGACAGAAAGGTCACATAGCTCGTGACGGGGTCCCCAGGACACTCAACTGGGAGGGGCAGAACAGGGAGACTGGCTGGTGAGGTTCTCCAAGGAAGCAGGAGTGGGCCAGAGGTTTGGGGTCACAGATACCTAGGTCTTCCAGGGAATAAGAAGTGGGAACTTCCAGACCTGAGACCTGGATGATATTCTCTCTCTATCTGTTCCCCCACCCCCAAGCCCTGACAATAGGTCACCTCTTGGCCCTGAAAATCTGTCACCAATGCCCTGGAACCTGGGTGACTTTGAACAGCTGGTGACCAGTCTGACCCTTCACGATCCCAACATCTTTGGTCCCCAGTAAAGATGCTGAAACACTGCATGATGCTGCTGAAGACATGGGGACCCCAGTCTGCAAGGGGGACAAGGAGGTGGATGTATTCCCCTAATTCCTCCCTCATGCATAAACATAAGACACATCTTCTCTGAAGAAATAAATTTGCTTTATAACCAATATAATCTCTGTGCTTTGACTCTAACAGGACACCAGGGTCGCCCCAATTTCCTTTGGTCTTGGGGGGTGGGGGAGTTTAAAGTTATACCTGGGATCAGAAGGGATCCAAGGCTGGCAGTGGAGAAAAGGAAAAAATACACTTTGGAGTGACTGATTCATCCCTGAGGGAGGGTTGTGAAATAATCAGAGAGGTGGGTAGGGAAGGTTTAAAGCAACAGCAAGGAAGGGAGGGAATCTACCTTTGTAGTAATTCAGCCCTGAGAAAACAGATGGGGAGTAGAGTTGGCTGTCTCCCTCAAATGGATGAAAGGTCACCTGGTCAGAAGTCACCAGGACATAGAAATTGAGGCAGAAGTGTCCAAGGAGTGCTGATTTGGTGGCATGTGGAAGAGTGGCTATTATTTGGTATATGTGTAGTAGAGGATGCGCAGCTGATCCCAGAAGAAGAGGGAGAGGATGGTGTGGGGGCCAAGGCGGAAGTAGGAGGCACCTATACCCTTGTACATGCCAAAAATCCCCTCTGTCCGAGCCGTCTGCAGCAGAGCGTCCAGTATCCCCCGGTACATGAGGCCCTGAGAGTAGGTTGCAGAGGGAAGGAGAGCACAGGGAAGGAGTTTGTCAGAGCCCACCAGAGGCCTCACCTCTGCAGGCTGCATTTTAGGCTGTCTTGCCTGCAACCACAATCTACTTTCCCCACCCCTTCCAACTCTCCCTCCCATATCCCAGAGCACTCCTTTACCTTGCCATGGGCATCTGTGGGCTGATTGTAGAGTCTTGTGCAGGCCACATCAAAGGGTGTCATGGCTAGGACCACGGCAATGCCACTCACCATCGCAGCTGCCAGAGCCACCTTCCAGCTCTGGGGAGGAAATAGCTAAAGGGAAGGGGAGAAAGCTTTGTCAGTCATTATCATTCAATCATTAGGAAAGGACTATCCCTGTGCTGGAGATACAGTGTAGAGCTAGTAATGCAGGGAGTGTCCACCTAATAGTTACACACAGTGTGATAACACTAAAGGAGAAGGTGCAGAATGCCTTACGGGCTCTGGTATACTTTCAAGGGGAAGGGAAAAGAGAACTGTGGGAAGGATATAGTCAGTGACCCCAGAGCACTCCTGCTGCTCCCTCATATTGAATATCCCCTTTAGGGGCCCATTGCAGTTTGCCCTCCCCTGCCCACACTCCCAGAATGACCCCGCCCCTTCCCCAGGCAGTACCTCCCACTGGGTCAGGAGGTCCTTGGTGGATGAGAAGGTGCACAGCTGGGTGGAGGAACCGATGACAACTCGGGGCATGCCGCCTAGAGCCCCACGCCACAACCCCACCAGGCCATGTTTCTGGCCAATCTCGTTTAGTGCTTGAAACATGCCCTGATGGGGGGAAGACCATGGGTGCAGGGTTCAGTTATCCCAGCATCAGGGGCTGCAACCTCCCAACACTACCAAGGATGGGTCATTAGGAGGCACCCACTGTCTAAATAACTAGTTCCTGGTGGGCTTGGAGCAAGGATGTGGCGCCCCAGCTGCCTACCACACCTGTTCCCTTCCTCACCGCATCCAGAATAGGGGCAGGGTGCATTAGTAGGTCATGAGAATGGGGCAGGAGAAACAGGTGTGGAAGACTAGAGAAACGAGACCATCGTGGGAAAAAGGGTCTGGGTGGACTCCAGTGATAAGAGTGGGGCTGAACTGATGAGTTAGACAACGTGATGGCTGGGGTGGAGTTCAGTACAGGCAGAAAGTGGGGTGGGGGGATGGGAATAGGGGTGGTTCAGGGAGTGGCAGGGACTCCAACAGGGTTGGAAAACCCTTACCTGATGTTTATACTGGTGTCCTACAGCAATTTCGGAGGCTGCCTGTGCCTGTAGGTGTGTCTTCACCTGGGGAAAAGAGAGTTAACACAGCCAATGGTCCATTGGTCATCCTCCCACTTTAGAAACACTTCCTCTAGGGTGTTAAGCAACAAATATCCTTTTAATCTGATAATTATTGTTGTTCCCACTTAACAAATTGGTCTTGAGACTCTGCATCCCTTGGCTCTAGCCTCAGGGGGATGGATCGCCTAGCACTACAAGACACCCCACCCCCTCTCCATTCTCTTTCTCTTGGGGTTAGGTGTGGGGGATGGAGAGGTTGGAGAAAGGCAACATTTCCTAAGATTGTTCACATTAGGCAAGACCTGGGTATCCAGACTTTCATGTGAGTTCCCATTCTCAACTAGATTTCTAGCCACCACCAAAACCCGGTTCCCATTAGATCTGGGCAGATTGTGAGGCAGATTGCAGAATCTGCAAAAATTGCTCTCTAGTCCCTGAAACCCATGTGTCCAACTGAATTTGGAGGGGTCACTGTCCCTGAATTTCACAGCTTGGGAGTGAGACCTTTTTTCTTTCTATGGAACTCAATGCCTCTCAGTGACTTTCCAGTAGGAGCAATAAATAGGGCCTAGTCTTTGCAATAAAGAACTATATGACCTTGAGCTGGTCACTTCCCCTCTTTGGGTCTCAGGCTACCAACCCTTCCACCTACATCAGAGAGGTAGACTATGAGATTATAATTCTGCAATGACCAGGACGTTTGATGGCCACACTCTGATGTAGAAGTATGTTACTCAAATTCCCTAACCTCCCCTATACAAATCCACTTTCAACCTCAATATGAGGTTATAAAACCCAGCCCCCACGCTGATCAAAGATCTGCTCTGAAGGCCCCAAGCAAGACCCTTCTTCTCACCATGTAGATGGGGCTTCCCAAGTAGGCTCCCATGACCCCAGCCAGGGCCCCAGCTGCAGCGCTGCGGGGAGGGCTGAGGGTGCCTTCGGCTGTGTGCAGGTAGCCCCCAGCCTCAGCCAGCCCATAGGTGCCCAGCCGGATGCCATTCATTAAGAACTGGTATAAAAGGGCAGGGGCTAAGCCCTTCTGCAGGGCAGCCAGGCCATCCACTTTGCCAATGGTGATGAAGGCATGGAAGACGTTTCGGTAATGCCGCTGGTAGGTGCCAGGAGCCTTTAGTTCTCCTTGCAACTGCATCCTGGTCTTCACCACCTCCAGTGGGTTGGTGAACAAACAGGCGCCACAGGCTGCCAGGCCGCTCATCAAGAAGTCCATGGTGAGGTAGCAGTAGCAGGAACTGGCCCAGGGGTAAGAAAGTCAAAGTGAGTTTCAGAGAGTCACAAATCACGGGGGAGATCTCAGTTTCAGCAATCCAGGTTCTAGGATGTAAGAAGTTAGAGGTCTGGAGTCAAGAAAGTCAGGGTCAAATGTCAAGAGGTCAAGGGTTAACTGGAACCTTGGAGTCAGGGGCTAGCAAAGGGAAGAAATAGTTTAGGAAAGTCTGGCGAGAAGGTTCCACCAGGGGCTAGCTGGTCAAGGAAGGGCAGAAGCCAGGAGGAGAGCAGGCGGGATGCTATGTCTTTGGCGGCCGGGGAGTAGGGGAGGGAAATGCGGAGTTGGGAGATGGGATAGGGATGGGGGGCGCGGGGGGAGGAAAAAGAAAACCAGGAGGAAAAGGATCCGAGAGAAGATCCGGTGGCGTCCCCGGGACAGCAACGAGATCTGGATCTGGGAAGAAAGTCGGTACTCAGCCCGGGGATGAATGTCCCCAGCAGCTGCGGCAGCCCGCAGCGGCTAGGGCCCGGGCGGCCTGCGGAGGCGGGGCCGCCACGCTCCGGTCATTGGAGGGCGGCGTCCAATGGGGAACCTTCGAGAGCAGAGTAGCCGAGAGCCTTAGCCAATCAGCGCCGAGCCGGCTCTCGGGCCAATGGGAGGTGCTCTCGGCGACCCGGGCCCAGGAACCCGCTCACGGGCGGTTAGAATTAACTCTCCCCGCCCCGGCCGCTGGGCGCGGGCCCCAGACGCAGCTCTCTGGGAGGGGACCCGGGGCGTTGGGGCTGGATCACTGGCGGGGAGAAGAGATTAGACTCTAGGTTCCCGGACAGGCGCGGAGAAAAGGCGCGGAGGCAGAGGTGCCCCGAGGGGTGCTGCGGACTGCTCCCCTGGCGGGCGGAGGGCGCCCCTCCCTCGCCGTCTCTCCCGGGGTGCGCGGGGCGTGCTGTCAGCTCTAGGTCCACGCCCTGCTTGGTTCGCGAGCCAGGGGAGCCCGGGAGCCTCGGCCGTCCCTTGGGGCTGACGGGACACAACTGCTGGACGAGACGGCTCTCCTGAGGCGGAGGAAAGACGGCTCCAGGGACGGGTGTGGCTGGCTGCAGGCGCGGAGGGAGGGAGGCCTGGAGCACGGTGCGGGCGCAGCCATATCCCGGCCCACGCTCTGCTCTTTTGATCCTCACAGCAGCCCAGAGAAGAACGGACAGGCCAAGGTGGGGATTTTAATGGCCCCCATATGACTGGGCTTGGGTTACACCGGGCCAGCCAGTGGTGGTGTTACAGGACAGGGAGAGGGGCAGCCCAAACACCACCCTGTTACAGTGGGATAGGTCCTGACTCCTTCCTTGCTAATGAGTCTCGTAATGGTTAGTCATGGAAGAGCTTTTGAGAAGAGACGGGGACAGTAGCTGGGAAGGGGTTAAGGGAGAAGGCTTGGAGAAAGAAGACCGGGCCATAGGAGGCATCATCTGGAGTGGAAGGACGAAGTACAAGTGTTATAGGGCAGCCCCGATACAAAACGGGTTGCCTGACTGGGTCCTCACCCGCGCCTAACACAAGATTCACTATGTTGGAGGCAGCTCCCAGACTTTTATAATAAGAGTCCCAGTTTGGGTCTTCCTGCTTACCGGCTAGGTGGCCTTAAGCTAGTTATTTAACATCCCAGTCTCCTTGGGAAAATGAGAACACAAGTATATATGGCACATACCTGAGTGAACAGTGAAAGTGTTAGACTTGTACCGTGTGTTCAAAGATCAGGTTTCCTGAAAAGTCAAGAGCTGTAAAGGCGCTGTGCTGTTATGTATCCAGTTCCCACTTGAAAGGTCCTTGCCTCCTTTCTGTAGCGATTTCCAAATGGTTCTTCAACTTGAGGCTGGTCTTTCCTGAACCTTGACGTTTTTCCAAGTTCACATTCAGGCACTCCCATCCTGCTTTGCTTCTCAAACCTTTACCTTCCGTTTTCCATTCTGATTAGCATTTGTTTACTCTAATTCCATCGCCCATCACTACCTGGTGATCCTGGGGGATGGGTCTGAGTCATCTGTAGCTCACCAGTGTTCTGCTAAGTCTTTGAGCCTAGGATGAAGCAGAGGGGGAGGAAGGTAAGGTAGAGCAGAAAATGGAGCTTCTCAAAGGGGCTATGAAAGGGTCTCCTAAAATTTTCTAAGGAATGCTCCCCAAATGCCTCCACTGGTTGGATGGGACAGAGCTCATTATTGTTTTCATCCTTGAGTTTACACCAGTGGTTCTCAAAGTGTGGTCCCTGGAGCAGCAACCGCAGCACCTTGGTATTTGTAAGAGATAAAAGGTCCCCTAGTCCTGTGCCAGAAACTCTGGAGGTGGGGCCTGATAACCTGTTTTAACAAACCCCATAGATTATAAGTTTTAGTATGTAGGGTCGGGAATACCACAGTGCAGGTTTTCTATGATTCAGCAGACAGGATAAAGGAGGAGTCAGCGTTCTGGAGCCCTCAGTGGCTTTTGCAGGGTTTTTTTTTTTTTGTTTTTGTTTTTTTTTTAGATTACCAGGTACATGGCAGGCAGGGGCCCTGGGGGGCCAGGAGGCTGACAGTTCTCCCAGACCCCAGCAAATCCTCACTCTGTCTGGGCTCTCTGGCGTTCTCTTGGCTTCTCTGCTCTCGGCTTCTCTTTCGGCTCTACTTCTCTCGGCTTCTGCTGGCGTCCCTGTGACTCCGCCCTTAAAAAAAAGCACAGTCTTAGCCAGGTGAATCCCATCTACCTATGCCCACACCCTATTCCAGATGCCTGCCATCAGGCATGCATTCAGGACCGCAAGGATCCATCATCTATCCTGATGGCGGGAGGGCAGAAAAGCCTGACATTTTTCCTTACCCTTCATAGTACCTCTGGCTAACTCTTATCTTTAATATTCAGATGGCCCAAAAAAAATAAACTTTAAGTTTTAGGGGTCGCCCTGGTGGCTCAAGGGGTTAAGTCTCAGCACTGTGAAGTTATCAGCAGCCACTGTGAAGTTATCAGCCGAGTTCAATCCCTGGCCTGAGAGCTGACCCACATGGCACAGCAGACCTCTCCTGTCCTGTCCCGCTGCTCCCCTCAGCAGTGTATTTCAGTCAGTCTGCCTGTTCTCTTCTCCACTCTGTCTCTGGTGAATCCTCTTACCCTCCTGCACCTCTGACCTATACCCCAGTTCCTGTATGCATAAATAAATAAATCTTTAAAAAAAATAAACTTAAGTTTTAGATTTACAGAAAAATTGTAAAGATTCTATGAATCCCATATACTCCACATCCAGTTTCCCTTACTAACATCTTCCATTAATATGATATATTTTTGCAATCAATGGACCAATATTGATATATTATTAACTAAAGCCCAAATTTTATTCAGATCTTCATTTTTGCTTTAAGTTCTATTCTGGGATCCCATCCAGGATACCACATTATATTCAATTGTCATCTCCTTAGACTCCTCTTAACTCTTGACAGTTTCTCAGACTTTTCTTGTGTTGATGACTGACAGTTTTGAGGAGTACTGGTCAGATATTTTATAGAATGTCACTCTATTGGGGTATTTATCTCAAGGTTGGACTGAAGTTATAGGATTTGGGAACATTCTGTATTCCTTCTTGGGATTCCTCAACCTCCTAAATGGATTTTTATAACTTACGTACATTAAGCCTCACTTTCTGTGCTATAAAGTTCTAAGGGTTTTTGACAAATGCAATATAATATTATATAAAATAGTCTCACTACCCTTAAAAAAAGAACCCTGTACTTCGCCTCCCTGGTAAAAACTGATATTTCCACTATCTATATATTTTTGTCTTTTCCAAAATGTCATATAGTTGGGATCATAAGGTATGTAGCAATTATATGGCACAAAGGTAAAGTGGACACCAGGGCTAATAAGCAAGTTTAATGCACTGGTGTTGACTCAGCGGATTCGTATCCCAAGGCTGAGCCCCCTTTGTAGAATGTCAGGGGCTTATATACACTTTCAGTTTCTATAAGGTTCCAGGTGGGTTTGCATTGGCAGCTGTACATGATCAGATATGACGTGGCTACATACCAAAATGCCGCGGACCAGCACAGCAGTGAGCGATGAGGCCGTCTCAGGGTTGAGAGACTGCGCAGGGTGGTCAGGGATTCGGTTAAAGAAATGACAAACAGACACACTTCAAGAGTGAAAATCTGAGTGTAATTTTATTTGAGTTGGTGACCAGTATATATATGTTTTCTAAAAGCATAGGAATGGCGAACATCAGTGAAGAAATCAGCTTGTTTATAGGTTTAGCTTATCATTGACAGGGCAGTGATTTACATCTGGACCCAGGCGCATTCCTAAGTAGTTAGGCTATTAATTTTTCTTTTTGTTTTATATGATTACTTTTTGTTTTAACTACTTACTATTACTATTAATTAACACGGGTGAATTTTACTTTTCACAATGTAATATTTTTATTATTTAGATTAATACTAACAAGGGTAAGTATACAACAGAGAAATTATTAAGCTAGCAGTTCTATTAATACACAGAGTTTAGTAACGTTTTATTTGAATCAGCCTAGTTATTAGATTTCGTATGTTCTTTTTTAATCGGCAAACCAATGACCTTTTAAACAGAGAAAGAGAAAAGATTTTAGAGAGACAGTTGTATTAGAATAAAGTTTGTGGGTCTAGAGAAGGTGAGATAAGTTTCCGTGCTGACAGCATTCCTGTAGTGGCTCCTGGTGGTCGTTATCTTTCAACAGGCTTCCGTCTTATCTATGTCTTCAGGCGGTTTTTGCTGTTCTCCTCCTGCGCTGGTTGCCCAGCCGGACCCAGGGATTCCTAGAGGTCACTGCAGGAGGAGGTGCAGCAGGTATACCTTCAGGGGGTTTTGCTGTTCTCCGCCTGCGCGCTGGTTGCCCAGCCGGACCTAGGGACCGTGGTGCAAGCCATTAGCCCTAAGGGTCACTGCAGGGGGAGGTGCAGCACCAAAAGGTGAATTGTATAGTTGCAAACCAAGGAGTGAGTAAAGAGTCTGTAGTCAGGGGACCCCTTAAGTCCATTCTGCCTCATGGCAGTACATGGTCTAACATGAAGCAAGAGTTGTATCAGGGACTAAGGTTGTTACTAAGGTCACCAGGTTAATTATATCAAGTCACCATGCTTCAACGCTTCTTCAGACTGGCCTCTTTGACTTAGCAATTTGCTTCATGTCTTTTATGGCTTGACAGCACATATCTTTTTTTTAAAGATTTATTTCATTTATTTATGCATACAAGAACTGGGGTGTAGGCATGGGGAGGTGGTGAGAGGATTAACCAGAGACAGACTGGGGAGCAGAACAGGCAGATCTACTGAAATACACTGCTGAGGGGAGCAGCGGGCGAGACAGGAGAGGTCTGGGGTGCCAGATATGGGTCAGCTCTCTGACTGGGCATCGAACTCAAGTCTCAGTGCAGTAGCTGGTCATAGCTTGATAGCGATGAGAATTTAACCCCTTTGCCACTAGGGGTGGCCATTGGACATACCTTTTTATCACTGAATAATAGTCCATTTAATGAATATACCACAGTTTATCCACTTATGTATTGAAGGACGTCTTGGTTGCTTCAAGTTTTTGGTGATGAATAAAACTGCTATTAATATTTGTGTATTTTTTTTTTTAAGGTTTATTTATTTATTTATTCACATACTGGGTACAGTCAGAAGCGCGGGAGGGTGAGAGAACTCACCAGAGCCAGAGCGGGGAGCAGAGCAGGCAGAAGGACCGAAGTACACTGCTGAGGGGAGCAGCGGGCGGCAGGAGAGGTCTGCGCGCCATGCGGGACCCTCCTTCTGTGGCAGGGGAGCAGCCGGGGATCCAACCGGCGCCGCAGAGGCTGCGGGCAGCTTCACAACCCAGCGCTCAACCGCTGCGCCACCAGGGAGGCCCTGTGTATTGGTTTTTTTTTTTTTTTTTAATTTATTTATTTATTTATTTATTTATACAAGCACTGGGTACAGTCAGAAGCGCGGGAGGGTGAGAGAATTCACCAGAGCCAGAGCGGGGAGCAGAGCAGGCAGAAGGACTGAAGTACACTGCTGAGGGGAGCAGCGGGCGGCAGGAGAGGTCTGCGCGCCATGTGGGACCCTTCTCGGTGGCCAGGGAGCAGCCGGGGATTGAACCGGCACTGCAGAGGCTGCGGGCAGCTTTGCAACCCAGCGCTCAACTGCTGCGCCACTGGGGAGGCCCCCTGTGTATTGGTTTTTAATGAACATTAATTTTCTAATTGGTTGGGTCAGTACTTGAGAGTATGACTGCTGGATTGAATGGTAAGACTGTGTTTGGCTTTGTAATAAACTGCCAAACTCTCTTCCAAAGTGGCTGTATCATTTTGCACTCCTATCAGCAATGAGAATTTTTACTCTGCATCCTCATAAATATCTAGTATTGTTAGATTTTTTGAATTTCAGCCATTCTGAGGGGTATGTAGTGGTGTTTCTGTAACTGGAAGACAGGAGTTTGGGCCACCTATCCCCACTGAATGCCAATAAAATAAAAGGAACTGAATCTTTAAGATGTGCTTTAATCAGACAGCTGGCAATCTGAAAGACAGGGGTTAACACCCTGAAGAAACTGCCTTAACATTTCATTTCCAGCTGGCTTATTATAGTGAGTTGAACAAAGACAGTTCAGCAGTAAGCAGGCTTTCACTGCTGCCAGGAGATTGTGATGCCCAGCCCCTAGCACTCCTTATCACCCTCCTGGACACCTGGCTTCATGCTCCTCCCAGGGTGCTGAGGCTGGTCTTCAGATAGCGCTGGGTCCCAGCACTCCTCCAGGCATGTCCTTGGCTGGAAAGTAACTCAGAGCAGAAAGGCCATAAACAATATGTGTGTGCAGATTCCCTTTACCATTCACAGAGTCTTACCCGATCTTCTCCCCTCCCTAGCCCCTATCATTTCCTGCTGTTTTAATTTTCAATTCTTCATAACAATGTTGAGCATCTTTTCATGCTTTCTGCCATCTGTATATCTTTTTTCCTCAGCTTTATCGGGATGTTACTAACATATAACATGTAAGTTTAAGGTATACAACCTGATGATTACATATATATTGTCTAGTGACTAGTACAGCCCTCTAGGTTTACATAAAATTACCTGTGTGGTGGGGGAGAGTGGTGATAAATTTTAAGATCTACTCTTTTAGGGCCTCCCCTGGTGGTGCAGCGGTTGAGCGCTGGGTTGCGAGGCTGCCCGCAGCCTCTGCAGCACCAGTTAGATCCCTGGCCACCGGCAAGGGTCCCACAAAAAAAAAAAGTAACAAAT